CCTTGAATGTATTTTGTCAGGTTCTTAACGTTTAATGACGTTCTCATTTCATACCTTTGTTTTCAATGTTCATTGATTTTGACTCTCTTTGAAGTCTTTGGATGTGTCTTACAGTGGCAAAAATGTCATGCAAATACAGTAGTATGTAGAGAGTTATTCTTGAAACAGACCTCAAGCGGATGCTAGCTCAGAGAGAAATTTCTATATGTGTATTGAAAGGAAACTAGCTCCCTGATTCATGATAATTAAAATAATATAAAATTATTCAATATAGGAATATAAATATGAAATTTAGCTATTTCTTACCTGGCCACATATTGAAGGGGTCTATTCTTAGCTCAATGCAGAGATAGTTATGCTCCCTCCCTCCTCAGATAATCTGCTTTTTGAGATGAGAATATGCTTCAAAAGTGGATAGTTGCAGTATTTCCTCGATTTGCCTTCCCCGATTCAAAATATAAAGGCATTGCCCATGAGTTTCATTTTTATTATTCCAATATATATATATATAAATATATTTTTTAAAAATTGTTATTTTTCAACAGATCCATAAAATTAGGTCTTGGTGTATGGTAATTTAAAATACCACTGTGTTAGTTTACACTGTGATGTGATATTTTAATAATTACTTATTTCTAGTTTTGTCTCAAGAGATGCTACGTACAAGTAGCAGACTGCTATGTTTTAAAAGGTGTTTTTAACTTGCCTATAAATGTTTTTCTAATTTGTGTCTTTCAAATCTGATTAAACAGTAGTTTAAAAAAAAGAGAGGCCTGGAATTGTTTTTCTCCATCTGTTTGGTGCTGTTTAACTTACACAATGCGATGCATTTAAAAACAACTGTTTTATCCCTTCACTTGATGAGAGGAGTCACTGCAAAAAGACGCAAAGAACCCCAACTTCCACAGCAGACCTACAATTCACTTACTGAACACTGTGCAGTGTGTTTTGAAACATACCATGAGCAATGTGACTTTATAAATGACATCTGGAGATTTAATAGAATCTGGTCTATCTGGAGCCTGTTCAGACATTACTTTTTATAAATGCAAGTGAAGTTATCTTACTCCCTTATCTGCAAATAGGAGAAACGATGTTATGAAAACTGGTAGCATATGAGTCTGGCAGCTCTTTCGTCCAGATTATCCTTTTTTTTAGTGGTTATCTCTTTCCATTCATTTGGAAACATTGCTTTCTGTAGCATGTATACAGATGCACAGTAGATTTGGTTCCCAATATGTTTTGAGGAAACACTGTCTCCAAATCCAGCTGGTTGCATGTAATGGGACTTTGAGACTACAAAAAGCCAGACTCTGACCAAAATTTTACTCAATGGTGAGAGAGACTCCATTTCTGATACTAGTGCTCTGATTTTTTTTTTAACGAGGCTAACAACTCTGCACTTGCATGTCCAAAACTCGAGCCAGTTCTGATGCAGAATCGAAAGAAATGGGATTAAAAGACAGGCTATCTATGTCTGTTGTAGAACTTCCAGAGAAGATATTTGATTGGAGTTGCACTAGGGGGCACTGTTGACCTTATCAGAATGCAGGGCAGGAGCAACCTCTTAAGAAGAATTATTGAAATGGAAAATTACTTTGGAAATGGTGAGATGTGGGGATAAGGGTCAAAGACACGTCTCTCAAGAAGCAGCAGACAACAAAGCTGCAAAACAATACAATTAAAAACACACACCATGCAAGTACTTTGGGAGGAATTCAGCATCACACACTTCCAGTTGTTCCATTAAAACAAGCATTTCTGTTTGCCTGGAGGAATGATTCCCCTCTGCCTGCCATGTGGTTTTCTGGGGATTCTCCAGACCCTTCCCCACCCCGAGGAGAAAAAGTCCCACTGTGCAACTTCCTAGTACAACTACTTAACTTGAATCCAACTCGCTTTCATGGCATAGCTGTCAACTTACAGATTTGAAAATAAGGGACCAGCAGCCAAAATAAGGGACCTGCAGCCTCACCTGTACCAGGCACTCCAGTCTTCCTGTCCTCCTGCAGTCTGGTCAAACTCATGCTGGTAGCTTCGAGAACACTGTCCAACCAACTTTGTAACCAGAGGTTCAACTGAATAGAATCTGAACCACATGCACCATAAGGCCTATGCAGCCTCAACTTAAAATGGCTCCCCGGCCTGGCTTTGCACTGCAAAGTTTGCAGCAGCACGTGCAACAAAATGGCGTCCAGCATTCAAAAAACCCCTCAGCTTGCATTAACTAGCCACACACAAGGCATGCAAGCTCCACCCCCCAGTCGTTCTTAGACTTCTTATTGGGTGAGCAACACAGCCAAGCAACACAGTTGGAGCCTCCCTCCTCCCTGGCTGGCAGGGAGGGAGGGAGGGAGAGGAACTGCTTCCTTTGAAATTTAAGGGACATCATTTAAGGGACATCCATCAATAAGGGACAGCAGCGGGACATGGCACTGGAATAAGGGACTGTCCCTTCAAATAAGGGACACTTGACAGCTATGTTTCATGGGTCAGCGGAAACCAGACAGCACCCAATCAGGGGTGGAGTTAGCTGCTCCGTCACCTGGGGGCGTGGCCATGGGGTGGGGCGAGCGTCCCAGGGGCGGGGCAAGCACCCAAGGGGGTGGAGCGAGCCACCCATGGGCTGCTTCCTGGCCGGTGGGGGTGGGGGGAGGATGTTGTGCTGCTCTGCCAGCAGCCTTCCTCCCTTCCCTCTTCCTTTCAACAGCTTGGGGGAGGTTCCCACCCCCAGGAAGCAGCCCGGGACCGGGGGGGGGCAATGGTGTGTCACCTGCCCCAAGCCTCCTCAAGCTGTCAAAACGAAGGGGTGAAGGGCGCCAGCAAGGTGGCACAGCTCTGCCCATTCCCCTGATGGCTAGGAGTAGGCTTGGGAGTCGCAGGCAGGTGGCGCGCCAAGTGTCACCCTCCTCCGTAAGGACACTCAGGGTGGGCCGCCCCCACCTGCCCCCCTTCCTCCACTCCTGCACCCAATAGTGACCCAATGTGGCTGATATTGGGAGAGGTACTGTTTTAGGTGGGATGAGGGTGGTGCTGTGGGTTAAACCACAGAGCCTAGGACTTGCCGATCAGAAGGTCGGCGGTTCGAATCCCCACGACGGGGTGAGCTCCCGTTGTTCGGTCCCTGCTCCTGCCAACCTAGCAGTTCGAAAGCACGTCAAAGTGCAAGTAGATAAATAGGTACCGCTCTGGTGGGAAGGTAAACGGCGTTTCTGTGCGCTGCTCTGGTTTGCCAGAAGCGGCTTAGTCATGCTGGCCACATGACCCGGAAACTGTACGCTGGCTCCTTTGGCCAGTAAAGCAAGATGAGCGCCGCAACCCCAGAGTCGGCCACGACTGGACCCTTTACCTACTGTTTTAGGTGCTATTCTCTTTCCCAAGCTACTTAAAGTATATGAAAGCGTTGGCAGCCATCACCCTGGGATTTTTGTTACGGATTCCTCTCTCGCCACTACACCTGATAAAAGAAAGAAAAAGTGTATACCTTTTAGATATATGAGCGATTTCTTTTAACATTCAAACTGGAACCTTCATCTGTTTCCTGTGCTCTAGTTCCATTCCTGACAAAGTAAGACTGCAGTCTGCAAAAAGACTTGTTCTGAAAAACGAAGTTAGTATTTTAAAGCACTGATAAAATCCAGTCTGTCTTTGTTAAACAAACAAGAGGCTAACCATAGCCCTGAACCTCTAATGAAAGGTGGGAAAGGAAAATTTGAAACAATGCAGCGTTTTCACAAAACACAGCATTCCAGAAATTTCACTGCAAAAGAAGCTGCCTTATATTAAGTCACACCACTAGCCCATCTAACTGATTATTGATACTGACAGGCAGCAGCCAGGAATTGAACCTGGAGCTTTGTGCCTGCAAAGCGGGTTACCCACTACGGAGCTACAGTCTTCCCCCTAAGTCCCAACACATCTTCCTCGAGGTTTGTCAAACAGAACTACAAAACAAGAAACTAAGAACAAAGTCACACGTTACAAAATGAGACTGTAGTGCTTGCTTCTCAGTTGTCATAGAAACCTAGCAGTTCTCCCAGTAATTTGGGACTGAAAATGCTTGGAGAGTAACAATTGGCCTACTTGGCTTTTTTGTATTGGGATTAGAGCAAATGGCAGAAAGTTTTAATAGCTGGCATGATTATTCTCTGAAGCCAGTGCTTTTGCCTTCACAAATTATGTACACAGAAGCAGCATGATATCTGTATAGAGTTCATTGGGCCAAGGAATACAGTATGAGGACCGCCTGGATTTTCAGTGGAAAACGAACCAGATGCTAATTCTGTGTGGTTCCAACAGAGCTGTGTCAGACTCTGTAGTTTACTTTGCTTAGCTTAAATGAAGGATGAGGATTCTGTGGCCCTTGGGTAAACACTACAACACTCATTATGCTTGACCACTGACAGTGGCCTGGGGCTGATGGGAGTTGTAGTCCAGCAATATCTGGAGGACCACAGGTTTTCCCACTTCTGGGAAGGAGCTTGGAGCTACACATTAGCAATATTTACTTGTGCATTGTCTTTTGTTGTGGACCAAAAGGAGAGAAAAAAAAGAGCTGTGTAGGCAATGCTGAGAGAAACTAGGCACAGAAGGGCTTAATGAAGGAAGTTGTCCTTATCCCCCCCCCAATTTCTACAGCCAACAAAGCAACAAGTGCTCTAGACTGTTTACAAAGACCACAAAACATAAAAACCCCATAACACACACAAAAGTAACACAAAAGAATGGGAGAAACTAGGAAGAGCCAACACTACAGCAGAAATAAAACGCTATGCTGAAAGGTTTTTTTGGGGGGGAGGGAGTGTTATGGTGATGGAGCAGCAGTGGTAAATAGGGAGACAAATGAATCACTAGGGGCAGAGATTTCCATACCATAGATTCCACACAGTGCTGGTTGGTGCTCATTGGGACTGGTAGTGAAGCCTTATTTACCTAGGGATCCATTAGCCACGCCATCCCCTGGACCTCGGAGGGAACAAAAGTACCAGGAAAGCAAAATCTTCTTTGGAGAAAAAGAGTTTATTGAGATCTGTGCACAGAGTCAAGGTCTGTACTCAGAGACAGCCTGCTGGATAGTTCCTAAAAATACACTGGCTGTAAAGCAAGACACTTCAACAGACTTTCTTATACCCCCAGACTTCCCCAATCGGCTAGCAAATATTGCTTGCTAAACACAATTTTATTGCTTGCTAGACATTCCTGTCTTTCTGCTAAGCCAAGCACTCCCTCCCACCTCCTTGTACACGTGTCTTATCTCTTCTTATTCTTGCATTACTTAAAAGCAGAAGTAAAGCAGGAAACATCTTGCTAGTGGTTTTTCGGTTAACAGCAGTTTCTGGCTGGGCAGGAAGCGACCTTCTGACCTGTAGCTAATATCAGCAGTTTCAAGTAGCTGGTTAGGCAGAAAACGACCTCTTGACCTGTCTGTTTTAGACTCTTGCAAGCTACTGCAATTTTGGGCTGTTTTGACCCTCCTAGCAGAGTGCAGGAATTTATTATGTGTAGATAATATTTGAGAGCAACACAATAAAATATTGAGAGAAACCTTTCCTATCTCCCTTTACTCCGTCCTCTTCTTTTGAACAATCTATTACTTAGATTCGTTCTGGGGTAGGGGTCTATATTCTCTCATTACAGCAATCACGCGAGGTCCCATCATGCGAGACATCATCTTTCCCATCATATGTTGCAGGCATTGCATTAAGCAGGGTATACAGAAGCAAAAAAAGCAATAGAAGCATTATTGGGCCTATCACCATAGTAAATATTCTCCCCATCCATCCACCTGGGAAGATGCTATCCAACCAAGATATATCCCAGCCCTCCCAAGTTTGTACAGGGACATGTGCCACCTTTTCAATGCTAGCCGCCAGATCACGGATAGCCTCGCCATGGTCTGAAATGTTGAAACAACATGCTCCATTTCAGCCATTTGTAACCATCTATTGTAGGAGTTATGGGCACCCCACTTAGTCATCAAACGGGAAATGTCGGCAAGGGAGGTCGGGGGACTTTTTCCTGCCTGTGCCAATACACATGTGGGCTCTCCAACACCGGCAAGACGAACCAGTCGTAGCAGAGGCCAGCAGGCCAATAGGGTTGGTATGGTTCGGTAGGGTCAGGGCAATAAGACATAGAGCAAGTCAATAAAGAAAATAAGAGAGAAAAGAGAAAGTCTTTGTAACTGTCCTTGTGATGATTAGTCGCAGGATCTCGTTGCCCGTGGCCTAACGCTTTTTCCTGGTAGCGTCAGACACAAGGTGATGATCAACTTCAGAGGGTCAGCAGGATTTCTCTTGCAAGTCCAGACACCCTTCTTCAGATGTGTGTGATGTACCCAGGGGATCACCTCGACTACTTTCACTGCAGTTGGGGATGAGGGGGTCGCCAGACGCTGTCACTCAGAGGGACTGGTGAACCGGCTCAGCGAGACTGCCACGGGACTGCAGGTGTACGCTTGAGGGAATACCTGGAAAGAAAGCAAACACACACAACAAACACAGGGATTGCACTTGTTCTTGGGTGATGTGATCTCCCATCTGCCCCAAACTGGCGGGGATGTCTCGGACGAAAGGGGTTGGCCTGCCATATAGAAGTTCAAAGGGTGATAGTTCTCAGTCTCTTGGTTGGCGCACAGGGCACATTTTGGGATATAGCAGCAGTTAGTTATAGCAGATAGAATATTCTCCCAAGGTGTGCTTTAGCAGCTGGGCCTCCCAAATGGGTGGACTCGTGGTAATTCTTTACAATTGTGCTGGCCAGATGTTGGGGCACAAAAACACGGCTGTCTGGTCCTTCCTGGAGCGTTGCTCCTTCTTGGCTGGTCCACTGCTGTTCATCAAGGGTGTAACGTGGTTCCACATCGTCTGGAGTGAGTTCTGGTACCAATATCAAAAGTCCTGGTGGTGCCTCTAAATTGGCTGGAGAACAAATGTCTACGTTGGGGGCGCTGCCTGCGGGCGCCCCTCCCATCCAATTATTCACCGTGCGTAGAGATATCAGCCTCCGGAGTGATATCAGCAAGGCAGTCGTCACTGGAGGGGATTTTCAGGATGCTGAGACACAGTCCAATCTGAGGCAGCTTTCTTATGTGGTGGACCCAAGGGGTGGTGCCAGCGATCTTCACAGCTGTGGGTGTGGAGAGCAGATGGGCCCTTCCAGCACGGTTGCAGTGGTGCCTGGGACCAGTCTTATCCACACCTCGTCACCTGGCTCAAACTGGTCACGCAAGGAGTTTCGGGCCTGGGTTGAGAGAGAGAATCTCGAGAGAGAGACTGTACATAATTGTTCAATTCCACATCTTGAGCAGGGATAGGTGAAAGCATGCACACATAAGGAACCGGTCTCCCAAACATCACTTCAAAAGGGTGACAAGTGAATACGTTTCAATGGGAGACTACAGACTCTAAGTCCTGTTCATCCTTTCCTATTTTCCAGAACTTTTGGGGCCTATATGCAGTACCCACCATCTTCCTTCTTCACTGGCAACAGTGGGGTGTTTCACTGTGATTGGCATTGTTTCAAGATTCCATGTTGAAGCAATCGCTTCAAATGCACCCACACTCCTTCAGCTGCCTGTCGTGGGATGGGGTATTGGTTTTTATCTTCCGCCCATAGTCCAGGGTCAACATCATGAAGCAGGCTAACAGGGAGGATTCCCTCCTCTTCTTTTACCATCATCAAGCAGCAATGGTCTCTCAGGGGCATTTCTAAAGAAAACTCTCCTGCTGGTCCAGTTGTCATCATTACTTCCCCCATTGGTTGGAAGGAAATCTGGGCTTGTAATTTTGTTAACAAGTCTCGGCCCAATAAGGAATGGGACACTCTGGTATATACAAAAAAATTGTGCTGGACTACTTGGCCACCTAGGCAACAGGTAACAGACTGCAAAAACGGGGCCTTTTGTGATTTACCTGTGGCCCCAATTATATTAACCACTTGGTTTGTGGGTTTTGTTACAGGCACAGGTAAGACTGAGTGGGCAGCTCCCTTGTTCACCTTCAGCTACCTGTAATAAGGTAGCTGGGTTAAGGGCTGTGGTAACCTGAAACTTCAGGCGTGAATGTAATAACAGCATCTGGCACTTCCTCTTGGAGTCACACAGCTGGTGTCCTGTCCAAACGTGAATTTATCTGCCTTTGTGAGTAGGGTAGCCACTGCCACAATCGCTCTCATACGGGGGGGGGGGGGCAACCTCTGTTCTGTTGGGGTTAGCTTCTCTGACAAGTATTCGACGGGTTGCTGCCAATTTTCCAGTTTCTGGCATGAGACTCCCTTGGCTCTTCATCTGTGAACAGGGTAAAAGGCTTCTTGGGGTTTGGATGCCAAGCACTGGGGCTTGTTGTAATGTCACTTTGAGATCCTGAAAAGCCTGCTGCTGTTCCCTGCCCCATATAAAAGGATCCTTCTCTATTCCCCTAGTTGACTCATGCAGGGGCCAAGCAATGCTTCTGTAGTTAGTAGTGAGTCCAGGGGATATTGTACATCATCATAAGTGGGATTATAGGTTTTAAAAAAATCCCTCCAAACAATTTTATGATCTTTGCTGGATTCTCCTCAAAAGAGGGGTTCTGATTTCTCCAATTACAAACATCTGCACTTGAAAAGGGTATATGCTGTCTGTGGTGCCTTCGTTTGTCCAGCTGGGACAGGGGCTGGTGGATCATAAACCCTCCGAAGGGGCATTTCTCCAGCTGCCTGATCCTTCCTGGTTTTCTCATACTGTCTGTGAGACATAACTCTCTTCGCCGCCTGTCCCCACTTACGTTGCCATCTCTTCCTCTTTTCAGGGGTGCAGCATTCTGCTGCCTCAACTAACAAGGGGCTCACATCCAACTTCTTCCTCAGATGGCTTTACAAACTCCTTTTGTCTCTTTTTCTGTCTTTCTGTCCACATTTTCTTTCCTTGATTCATATCATCTAGTGTCTTCCTAAACCCCTCGTTATCTTCCTCATCTTCCTCTTCTTCCGTCTCACTATCCTCCTTCGCAGGTCCTCCTCCCCCTACACCAGCACCTCCCTGTGCTTCTTGATTTTGGCCTGGGGGGGGTGTTGGAGGGGCTGTTGGTGGAGTGTGACTTAATCACTCCCCCTCCTCATCTTCTGGGTCTTCTAACACCAGAGGCTTCACTGTACAAATCCTGTTCTGTGTGTTGCTGTCACAGCAAGACTTTAGCCATGGTAGATTCTTTTTTTTTACATTGGTCTTCCATGTAGAGATATAGGGGATCTGGTCTGGGTGGACATTTAATATATTTTGCCACAGGGGGTTGATTTGCCACAGGGGGTTGATTAATTGCAAATCAAAGCCATGCAGTTCCCTGGGTTGGCAAGTCCACCTTACATAAAGTTTTGAGTCTCTGTTTTTTCAATTTGAATCATCACTCTTCGTGGCTGTTTTCCAGTTATTTAAAAAGCATTCCAGAGGAATACATTGGCTTGCTCCAGACCCTATTTTTTTTTCAGATACTCCCCTCCTAACTGGGTTTTCAAAATTCTCTCACACTCCACATGCTACAGTTTGTCAGAAAATGCACAACCCTACAATCGCTCGGCCAAGGGGACACTAAGCCTTGGCCCTCATTCAACAATTCATCCACTGGAGTATCTGACACACAACATGTCAACAAAACACTCAATTCCCTCTGCCCCATTCCCTTTCCCAAACCTTTACCAATTCCTTTCCTGGTGGCATTCTTACTGCACGGGCACACTACTGCCAACTACCAGGTGAGGCTGATCAGGCCTCTGGCCCTTTCCCTCGGGCCCCTAGCCCTTTCCTTCGGGCCCCTAGCCCTTTCCTTCGGGCTTACCTTTCTCCGCTGCGGACCTGTCCCCTCGGCGCCGTTCTGTCCTCTTGTTCTCCCTCAACTAGATGTCTCCGCTCCAGGACGGTGTGGCAATCTCCCCCTACAAACTGGCAGGGTGTGCACTGGAAATGCGAACGCCGATCGGAGCTGTTCACCTTGGTTGAGCCTGGCCCTCCGGTCCGTAGTGGGGAGGGGGCTGATCCCGGACGAGCCCCCAGAGAGATGAAGCCTTATTTACCTAGGGATCCATTAGCCACGCCATCCCCTGGACCTCGGAGGGAACAAAAGTACCAGGAAAGCAAAATCTTCTTTGGAGAAAAAGAGTTTATTGAGATCTGTGCACAGAGTCAAGGTCTGTACTCAGAGACAGCCTGCTGGATAGTTCCTAAAAATACACTGGCTGTAAAGCAAGACACTTCAACAGACTTTCTTATACCCCCAGACTTCCCCAATCGGCTAGCAAATATTGCTTGCTAAACACAATTTTATTGCTTGCTAGACATTCCTGTCTTTCTGCTAAGCCAAGCACTCCCTCCCACCTCCTTGTACACGTGTCTTATCTCTTCTTATTCTTGCATTACTTAAAAGCAGAAGTAAAGCAGGAAACATCTTGCTAGTGGTTTTTCGGTTAACAGCAGTTTCTGGCTGGGCAGGAAGCGACCTTCTGACCTGTAGCTAATATCAGCAGTTTCAAGTAGCTGGTTAGGCAGAAAACGACCTCTTGACCTGTCTGTTTTAGACTCTTGCAAGCTACTGCAATTTTGGGCTGTTTTGACCCTCCTAGCAGAGTGCAGGAATTTATTATGTGTAGATAATATTTGAGAGCAACACAATAAAATATTGAGAGAAACCTTTCCTATCTCCCTTTAGTAGGGCAGAAGACAGAAAGCCCACAGTAGGTACCGTAGATGCAGAGCCCACTAAACATTGTTTTGTCTCCTATCTTCTCTTTGCTGAGTTCGCCAACAAGCAACATGGAGAAGAAGAAAGAGGAAACTGACAGTCAATGAATGACACTCCCTGAGCTGGATATGAGTAAGAAGCTAGGCAAGTTGGGGATGGCTGAAGGCAGACTGAAGTTGGTGGGATAGTGCCCCATTTACCCTACTGGTGCCAGCCTCTGTTGGTGCCACAACCAAAAAATACCTCCTGCTGTATCCCCCCAAGCCAAACTTCAGGTGAGAAACATAATGAGGCATGAGGACCTCTTTAGATGACCTCATGAGGTATCTGTATGTCATTGTCTCAAAGGTTTATGGGAATCGTGATATACATGCACGGTCAGTTCAGCATCTTAAGGCATTTACATATGCCTATTATAAGGCCTTGTCTGCATAAACTTGCTATCCTGACCCAGTGGCGTAGCGTGGGGGGTGCAGGGGGGGCCGGCCGCACCGGGCGCAACATCTGGGGTTAGGGCAAATCCACAGGTTAGGGGGCGCAAATCCACGGGTTAGGGGGCGCAAATCCACGGGTTAGGGGGCGCAAATTACTTGCCTTGCCCCGGGTGCTGACAACCCACGCTACGCCACTGTCCTGACCTGATGGAAAGTTTAATCTGTCCTTGCCCCCACCACACCCCTCTGGTAACTCTATGTTCCTGTCATAGAAGGATCAGGGTGCAAATCCCACACCCATTTTCCTGGGTATAAATCTCACTTGATTCAGTAGGATTTCCTTCTCAGTGGATGTCTATAGGAGTGGGTTGTTAATTGTCTGTAAGAATAATCCATCTCAGTCTAAACTTTCCTGCAACTGTAGGACCAAAAGGGGCGATGCTTGCAGGCCAATCCTTAGGAAGCCCAATTCAACACTGGATTGAGCTGTGACCAGTGCACTGCAAGGGTTAGGATGTGAAGAGCACTTGGCAGCTAGCTTGTGTTCATCAGTGAACCGAATGCCCCATGAATTCAGGTTCCTTAGGAGTTTAAGAAGTGCATCTCCAATTGTGAAATCTGAATGGCAGGCTTTAGAGAATGTCAGCTTTCTAAGTTTCCTGCCGTTCACGTTAATCCTAATACATGAAAAGCCAAGCAAGCCAATTAGTCTTGAAGCATTTTCAGTCTATTCCTGGAAAAGAGCCGACAAAATAGTTGCTAGGTTTCTATGACAATTTAGCAATGCTTAGATTCAGGCTCATCTTGAAATGAGTGCTAGGAAAGTCACAAGACCTTAATCAACACCCTCCTCTTTTATATTTGGCTGTTTGCCAGGTTGGAAGTCTTCCATTTCATGACATTTCCAGAATTCCATGCTTGGTAAAACAGCAACAAAAACCTTATTGACCAAACTGGGCATCTATGTAGATGTGTGTAAAATTATCCCAATGTTCCCCACCTTTTTTTGGGAGGGGGAGCCATTTCCTTAAAGGATGCCCATTTATTCTTTTCCTCCCTTTAACTCACCCTTAAAGGCATTCTCTCCAGGGAGAGTTTAAAATAAACATCTGAAAATGCTTGCTACTATGCTGGAAAGGGCATTATACCTGGGGAGTGCACTTACAATTTCAAATTACTCACAGGAACTATTATTAGAGTTGTATATACCCTGCAGTCAGCCTCTTCCTACAACTTCTGATGGCAGCAATTAACTTTACTCTTCTCTTAACTTGTTCATAAACAGAGGGCACTCCCTTTTGTAACTGTTTTATAATGTTTATGGGCTAGATTACTAGTTCCACAGGGCAGGGCAGGGTTAGTAAACCATATTTTTAAAAATAGACTAACCCTAACCACATTTAAGGGACGCGGGTGGCGCTGTGGGTAAAAGCCTCAGCGCCTAGGGCTTGCTGATCGCATGGTCGGCGGTTCGAATCCCCGCAGCGGGGTGAGCTCCAGTCTTTCGGTCCCAGCTCCTGCCCACCTAGCAGTTCGAAAGCACCCCTAAGTGCAAGTAGATAAATAGGTACCGCTTTCTAGTGGGAAGGTAAACAGCGTTTCCGTGTGCTGCACTGGCTCGCCAGATGCAGCTTTGTCACGCTGGCCACGTGACCCGGAAGTGTCTCCAGACAGCGCTGGCCCCCGGCCTCTTAAGTGAGATGGGCGCACAACCCTAGAGTCTGTCAAGACTGGCCCGTACGGGCAGGGGTACCTTTACCTTTAACCACATTTACTGGCAAACAAGTGCCCCAGTGCAGAGCATAGGATGGTTTGATTTCAAAAGGATTAGGCATCCAAAAGTCTATGCCTCTCCTCGCTAAATTCTATATGCATAGACTCCAGGTTTAATCGCATTTACTCGAGAGCAAAACCCCCATCAAAATTAATGGGATTTCAGAATAAACCCGGTGAACATGATTGCACTTCTAACCCCTTGTTAAGTGTGCCTACAGGAAGGGTCGGCCTTCCAGAGGGCCTTCTTGGTAGTGGCTCCAACCCTGTGGATGTCAAGGAGACGAGTAACTATATAACTTTTAGAAGACATCTGAAGGCAGCCCTGTACAGGGAAGCTTTTTAAGGTTTAATGTTTTATTATGTTTTTTATATGTGCTGGAAGCTGCCCAGAGTGGGCTGGGGCAACCCAGTCAGATGGACGGGGTACAAATAATAAATTACCGGTATTATTATTATTCGATGAAGCGAAATGGGAATCGGCACCTCCTGCCCCAACCACTTCCACCGGTGGAGTGCCCTGGCTCTCGCCGAACTTAGCGGCAGCCAGGGTGGCACCTCAAGGCATCGCCGCTTGGCTTCTCTGTGTGCCTCCGCCCAGTGCCAGATTAAACGCTGTGGAGGTTCCTAGGCATTCGAAATCTTGCCCCCCCCACCTCCCTGCAAATTATCTCCCTAATACTTGGTTGCAATTTTCTTCCAAGACCAAATCAATATTCTTTTGATCCATTGCCTCACAGAGTGGGGCAGCTCTGCATACAGTCACATGGCATAAACGTGTTATATGGGATATAGCTCTTAATGATAAATTAACATGTGCTGTTAAGGTAAGACGGGGAATGTGCAGGAGAAATGATTTTGAGGAGATATGGAAGGTGTTTGCATAATTTGTGCTGTTATAACAGGAAAGGGGTCAAACCATCGCATGAGGTGCTGAAATTTTGGGAGGTTGGCTAGTTACAATGGAATGGTCTCAGTCAGGGCCGGATTTAGGTTCAATGAAGCCCTAAGCTACTGAAGGTAATGGGGCCCTTTATATGTCCAGCTGTCTTTTATTAACAAATTGTCGCTGTTTTTTGTGTTGAATATATGATAAATTATGGACCTAATAGGTATCTAAAGCCATTTGCACATAACAAAATATGTATTTTATTGTTGACCTTATCTTATATTTTGGAAATGTACATCCAGTCCCCCCCCCTTTAAATTTTTTGGTGGCCTCCAAGAGAGTGGGGCCCTAAGCTATAGCTTGTTTAGCTTATATGTAAATCCGGCACTGGTCTCAGTGGTGGGGTGCACATTTTTTATTCTTATTTATTTATGATTATTACTTGGTCAAAATAAAATAATAAAAGGGGGGAAAGAACTTCCCGGAATATGTGTGTGTGTGTGTGTATATATATATATATTATATATATATGCTTTCGTAGATTTTCACGGGTACAGGAATGCAGGTTTTGGTGTCCTCGGGTGTCTTCCCGTGTAAAAGTTGGGGTGTCTAGGCGACGTTTCGACGAGGTCTCACTCGTCATCTTCAGGCTGGTGCTTTCGGCTTCTTGTTACTGGAACAGAGCAGGACCTCAGTGTTTGAGTTCCTATAAATACTGTTGAGGGGGTGTGGTGTATAGCCTCCAATGTTCTGGGCAGAGAGGAAGTTCCCAGGCTAGTGTGCCTTTTCTTCTTTTGTTCCTTAATTACTTGAGGGATATCTTGAGTGATTTCTTGAGTGATATTCTGAGTACCACTTAGGTGGGTCATTAGGTGTGGATTAGTTGCTAAAGCCTTCGTGTCTTGACCTCTTGAACTTTGTGAAGAGTTTTTCTGAGAAGATGGCTGTACTGCACTTAGTTGTGCTCTGGCTTGGCTTCGTGTATAGGGGCGAGCTGTGGTTTTGTGCCCTGTGTCAGCCAGATCTGTGTAGGGATTGCAGGGGGGTGCAGCATCCGGAGGTGCCACCATGGTTTGGCTACTGGATGGTGTCTGTAATTTATCTGTGGAGAGGGTCTGGGTTTGGGTCTGGTGTGGTTGATTGGTGATGGCGTTCTGTGTGCCTCTGGATCTGGTGTCGGTTTTTGTGGGGAGGGCTAATTTCCAGATGTCTGGCAGGCGGGACGTGTCGTCACGCTTGTTCATGTTGTGAGGGTGTTTCTCTATCTCGATGGCTTCCATGATTATTCTCTTGTGGTGATGTTCCATGTTAAAGAGCAATTTGGAATCTGCAAAATTAATTTCGTGTCCTGTTTCTTTCATGTGTTGGAAAAGAGAGGAAGTTTTTTCTTCTTTTTTGACGGCATTCTTGTGTTCTGCGATACGTGCGTTTATTCGTCTGTTTGTTTGTCCAATGTACGTGGCTGGGCAGACTTTGCAGGGTATTTCATAGACCCCTTGGTTTTCCAACTGGATTTTATCTTTGGGGTTTCTGAGGATATTGGCTATTTTTTGGTTGGTGCAAAAGGCTGTTTTGATATTGTGTTTATGGAGGATTTTGCTAATTTTATCTGTAGTGCCCTTGATATAAGGAAGGAGGGCCATGCCATTGTTTTCTTCTGTGTCTTGGTTTTTGGGGGGTGTTTCTTTTTGGATTAGCTTCGTAACCCTGTTTTGCTGGTATCCATTGGTGATTAACACATTTGAGAGATTCTGTAACTCAGTTGTCAAGTGGTCTTTGTCAGCCAGGCGTTTGGTTCTGGAGATGAGAGTCTTGGCACATTATATATATATAATGTGCTATAGATTTTGTTTCCTTTTTAGCTCCC